TAACTGCAAAGCTGGAGATATGTGCTAAATTCTACTTAAATCCAAGTACCTTAAATTCTGGCTTGGGTTCATGGTCTTGCCATGAACTAAAACATTCAAGACAAATTGTACTGGGCCTGTAGCATGTAAATAATCCCCAAGAGAGTAGCTACTGATATCCTGAGAGCACATCATCTCCTTACCCAGCCGCCATCTTCTTCCTTCTAGATAGTTCCTGTACATCCTGGATTTCTAACCTTGGAAGTGTATGATCTGTGCTTGGCATTCTTGGGTCCAGCAACAGCCCAGCTCAGGGTGTCAGACATACTGGAGGTGGAGCTTGATCTGATCGATAAGGTGAGAGGACTGCTTTGCAGGTGCCAGTCACTCCCCATAGCTTATTGTAACCTAGTCTCTTTTCGACTAGTCTGCACATACTATGACTTTTGGGAAGTTACTGGAAAGAGTACCATTCCACATCATGTTCCCTTGGACTTTATCCACTCTTACCCCCTGAGACTGTGTTCTCCTCTACTCTGAAATAACCTACATATCTACACTAAACAAACAGAATCCACCGTTCTAACATTTAACATGAAGAAAGTCAAGATAAATAGGATGGGGTGCTTATAGGACGTGGGGGTTGATTTATTGATTGTTGTGATAGGGTCTCACTCATTGTATAGCCCAGGTTGGCCTGGAACTCATTATGTGTAACCCAGGCTGTCTCAGTCTCCCAGCAGTTCTTCCAAGTGCTGAGCCTGAGCCATTACAAAGGACTGATAAATAAAATGTTAAAGGACACTTAAACCCAGCAGGGTGGTTCATGCCTATAATCCCAGTACTTGAGAGGCTGGAGCAGGAGGATCAAGAGTTTGAAGCCAGTTAAGGCTACTTAGGGAGATTCTATCTCAAAAACATCAAATAAAGGGAGTATGGAGGAAATATAAGCCAAGTACAATGTTAACTAAAAGAAAATTAATTTAAAAAAATACAAGAAGGAGCCAGGCGTGGTGGCACATGCCTTTAATTCTAGCACTCAGGAGGCAGAGGCAGGTGGATCTCTGTGAATTTGAGATCTGGTTTGTATAATAAATTCTAGGCCAGCTGGGGTTACAGGGAGACCCTGTCTCAAAAACCTAACAATCTAAAAAGTGTCTGGGGATGTGGGGATGTAGCTCAGTTCATATTGTGCCTTCCTAGCCTGGGTTTATTTCCCAGTGCCACATAAACCAGACACAGTGATGCATGCCTGTAATCCCAGGAGGTGGAGGTAAGAGGAGCAGAAATCCAAAGTCATCTTTTGCTACACATTGAGTTCAAAGCTGACCCAGGCGCAGGCGGTGATGGGGGCAGGGTGGAGAATGGATCAGCAGTTAAGGGTACCGACTTAGGTTTGGTTCCCAGCACCCACATGGCAGCTAATAACCACCTGTAACTCCACTTCATGGCGGTCCGATGCCCTCTTTTGACCCCTGTGGGCACTAGTCCACATGGTACACATACATTCATGCAGGCAAAACATTCATACACAAAAATGTAAATATATCATGTATTTATTTTTATTTTATGTGGTTGAGTGTTTTGCCTGCTGTAAGTAGATCCATGTGTGCACTGCCTGCAGAAGCCAAAAAAAAAGGCATTGGACACCCTGGAACTGGAGTTTACAGACAGTTGTTAGTCCCCATGTGGGTGCTGGGAACTGAACTCAAGTCCTCTGCAAGAGCAGCCAGTGTTCTTAACCTCTGAGCAATGTCTCCAGCCCCCAAAATTGGAAAAAAAAGAGCCTGGGATACATGAGACCCTGTCTCAAAAAAAAAAAATCCCGGGTTCAGTTCCCACCATCCACATGGCAGCTAACAACCATCTGTAACTCCAGTTCTAGGGGATCTGATGCCCTCTTCTAACTTCCATGGGCATTGCATGACATGGGTGTACTTACATATATGTAGACAATACACTTATATGCATAAAATAAAAATAATAAATTCTTTTAAATCCAAGAGGAAGGCATGGTGGCTCACTCCTATAATCCCAGTACTCAGGAGGCTGAGGCAGGCAGATTTCTGTGAGTTTGAAGCCAATCTAGGCTACATAGTGAATCATAGGGCAGCCTGAACTACAGAGTGAGACACTAAGAAAGAAAGTGTAGAACCCCCAGACTGGGGTACCCTACGTTCACGGGAGGTTGCACCCCAATAACTCAGTCCTCAAACCAGTAGATGCAATAGCAAGAGGAATTTAATGGCGTTTTGCAAAACGGACTCCTGCCTCACTCGGAGGACAGAAGCCCAGAGCCCAGTTCACAGGTTTTTTTTAAAGACAAGCGGCGGCTATGTGCCAAGCAGAAAAGCGGTGGCTATGTGCCAAGCAGAGGTAGGGGGAATTTCTGGGATGATTTCCAACTTGGGCAGAGGAGCATGAAAAAGGTCAGCTCAGCTTGTTCTTAGCATTCAGAATTATTTTTCATTTTTACTTCCTTGTACAGTTCTTCTCAGGCCTGGGGCATTTTAGTTTAAATCCATTGTTCTGGGGGCTTTGGATCCATCATTTCCCCCCTTTTCTTATAGTAAGATTTTAATCCTAAAATCTATAGATCTTCTGTTCTTCTGGAAGCATGGTATTGCTGAGTAAGAACCAGAGCCTGAGTTACTGACAATCGGTCTCTGATAAATTGTAGCAGCCTGTTGGGGATGCATGGTCCAAAAGTTAAAAGAAGGAGAAGAATTACCAGGGGACCTATTAGGGTGGATACTAAGGTAGTTAACCAGGGGCTTTTATTAAACCAGCCTTCAAACCATCTCTGTTTGGATTCACGTTTTTTGTCTTTTATCTAATCTTTGGCAAAGTTTAGTCATAGAATCTTCAATGACCCCTGAGTTGTCAGCATAGAATCAACATTCTTCTCCTAGGTCTGCACAAAGTCCTCCTTCTTTGAGGAAAAGCAGATCTAGCCCCCTCCTATTCTGTAATACTACTTCTGAGAGGGAGGTTAGAGATTTCTCCAAGAGGGTAATTGACTGTTCTATTGCTCTAATGTCTTCATCTACAGCCATCTGTAAATCTGCATAATATTGGGGTCCCTGTATTAGGGCCGCCGTTCCGGTTCCTATCCCTGCTGCCACCCCTACTCCCAGAAGTATTGCTAGGGTCAGAGACACAGGCTCTCTTTTATATCTGCCTGGGTTTTGTTCATAAAACTGTTCTATGGAATCTGCGGGGTGATAAAATACTCGGGGCAGGAGCTTAATCAGGACACAGTAGTCTTGAGAGGTATTAAGGACCATACTAGCTACACAGGGAGTTAACCCAGAGTTACATGCCCACCAAGCTCCTTGTGGAGGTAAGAGATAATAGTTCCCTTCCCCTGTGGGTACAGAAATAGTGGAGTTGCAAAGGTGGGTGTGGATTTTAAACACGACAATCTCCATTTGATTAATTACCCGCCAGGTAGTCAGCATAGGGAGATGGGGGCTTCCTTGACTGGGGACAAGCCTACAAACAAGAAGAATTATTAAGTATCTCTGGAGAGTCTTATTTTTAGAGGACTGGATGTCTTGTGGAGATGTCATTTTTCCACATCGTCCTGGGCCGGAGCTCTCTTGGCGTGAGAAATGTGGATCTAAGCCGAGATCCCATCTACTTTAAGGGCTGTGGGTGTAGTCAGAAGAACTGTGTAGGGTCCTTTCCACCGTGGTTCGAGAGCCTTTACGTTGTGTCTTCTCACGTACACCTAATCTCTAATTTGGTAGGAGTGGGGCGTTTGTGGACTCCCAGGCTGGTAGATAGCAGCCAAAGGCCTCTAAACCTGGTTCTGGATGATCTGGAGGGCTTGATTTTAGGCTGGGGTTATCAAAAGAAGAGGGCAAGGGGGACAAAGTTACATTGAGGACAGGAGGTGGTCTTCTAAAGAGGATTTCATAGGGGGTTAGGCCATGTATAGCAGGAGTATTTCTAGCCCAAAATAGGGCTAGAGGAAGGAGCTGCACCCAGTCTTTAGTGCCAGTCTCTAGAGCTAATTTAGTCAAGGTCTCTTTAATGGTTTTATTCATCTTTTTTACCTGTCCTGAACTTTGGGGTCTGTAAGCACAATGTAATTTTTAATTAATCCCCAATGTTTTGGCCACTCCCTGACTTACCTGGGAGACGAAAGCTGGGCCATTGTCAGACCCAATTACCTTAGGCAGTCCGAATCGAGGGAAGATGTCTTCAATCAGCTTTTTTTTAATTTTTTTTTTTGCCAAAGTCTGAGCTGTCTCCTTTCTGGTGGGGAAAGCTTCAACCCATCCTGAAAAAGTGTCTATAAACACTAAAAGGTATTTATACCCATATTTTCCTGGGAGTACCTCAGTAAAATCTACTTCCCAGTTAGTCCCTGGTCGTGTTCCTCTTTCTCTCTTACCAGATGGGACCTTTGACCTGGTAGCATTCACCAGGGAACATGAGACACAATCTCCCACTACCTTTTGAACTAGTTGGTTAAGGTCTAGGAAGTAATAGTGTTGTTCTTCTCTTTTTAGCAGTGTTTTTAGTTTCTTGTATCCTAAATGTGTCCACTGGTGGAGTTGGGAGATTAGCTCAAGTGCTGCTTCCCAAGGCAGTATAGTATGATTTTGATATCTCCACATCTTGGCTTCAGGATCCAAAGTAGCATTAAGCTTTTGAACAAGTTCCAAATCTTGTTCAGTGTAAGTAAAAGAAGCTTCTGCTTTCTTTTCCTGTCTCTCCATCTCAGCCTGAAGGTCTGCATGTGTGTAAAGAATGTAGGTACCTTCTGCTGCCTGACGGGCAGTTTCATCCGCCATCCGATTGCCTCGAGCAATCGGCCCCTGGTCTCATTGATGCCCAGGGCAATGAATTATGCTGACCTGTTTTGGCAAGTACAAGGCTTGTAGAAGGGCCACTATC